GTGACCAAATATGTCGTTGTTAGGTTTAATTCATTTTGTTTTTCCTAGCCTTGTGGTGCAGTCACAGATGGTTTCTGTGCTGCATTTAGATACACCTGATACCCATGCTATGATTTTCTTCACTACAGAGCCAGATATCTGTATTCTGTGTGGTATGATTGAGTAATGTCTGTAACGCTAAACATAAACCTAGGACCATAAAGCTACAGTTCATTACTCAATAGGTGCATGAAAAATGTATCATTAACCAAATGTGGAGATACAGTCCCATTATCTGCTGCCTCGCACTAGCATTTTTACATTTTATTTTTTTCCCAATAGTAACAGTGAAAGAATGGGAGCTCTAATTCCCCCTATAAAGTGTATATATGCTCACAGGCCCTTCCTGCCAAAGCTGCAACATCTGGAAGCCGAGTGCTGGTATTGTCTGAAGAGTGTCAGCATGTAAGCTTTGACTTGCCATAGCCACCTGGGACCAGAAATAGCATGAAAAATGCAATCTCCCTGCAACACCTGCTTTGGATCTTACATAACAAAGAGAAGACCACACAGAAGCACAGAGCCAGAATGGAGGAAAAAGAGAAGAAATGGATCCAAAAGTTGGAGTGGGCCCGAGTTAGCGAGTGCTTTTCATTGCTCATGTGTGTCGGAGGACAGGCTTTTATTCTGCCTGTGAGCTACTAAGCTTTGGGAACACGACCCAAAGATACCGATTAAGAATTTGTTAAATTACATTTTGACAAATATTTTAAAAGGAAGCATTTTACACATGATGGGTGATGGTTTGCCACTAAATGCTCCAACCTTGCAGTTATCAAACTTTCTCTTTCTACGTTATGTAGACAAAGTTAGCCGTTACACACTCTGCTGTGTGACTGAGTAATCTATCCACAAAGTGAGAGCACATCTCGATGGCTCATACAGCTTTTTTTTCAAAAACACCAGGGAACCCGAGTTCAATTAATCACGAACGGCAGGGAAGGAAAAAATAGAAACATTCCAAATGTGCTGCTGTCACATCTGTGAAACTGTAGGCAGCCAATATGTCCCTCTGTCCAGGTCACCTGAGAGCTCCAGTTCGACTTGTCTCAATTTTTTCACACTTGCTGTGGAATGCTGTGAAAAACACTGAGCGATCTCATAGCCATTAGAAATCTAGAACCACAAGTGCCTTTAACTTATTTTCTAACAGATGCACTGTACCAATCAAAGACGAGCATTGGTTTTTGACATGACAATGACACCTCATCCCCTGGGGGTTCAAACAGATGCAGAAGCAGCAGATTTATCTCAACCAGAGAAACAAACAGATTAAATGTTAATATGGTTACATTTTCCAGTTGAGAAATGATCAAAAGCTTTTCACAGCCCTTTCGTCTGCTTATAAATTAATTCTGACTAAGCTTGAAGTGATTAACTTATAGAGGCATTTTCATTCAGATCAAAGAGGCAACAACTGCCAATATCAATTTCATACGAATGCTAACAACTTAACGAATGAGAGACAACAACAAATCACTTGCAAGACATTAACTAATTATTCTAATGGTCTTTCGCAATAGAAAAAATCCTACAAATATAGATGTTATCAATAACAGCATCGACCATTAAAGAACAGCTGATTAAAATAGTCTTTGCAGATAAATAAAGGCTAAAGGTAGTATACAAAAATTATCTGTGCACATGTACAACCAAAACTGCCCCTTGTGAGGTAAAAAGACATTTGTATAGAAATATACATAGATAGAGAAAATCATCTAAGACACATTTTGATGGAATAACTATTCCACCAAATAAATAAATAAAAGCAACCAAGACGAGATGTGCGCAATACAGGGCCCACCGAGACTAATAATTAAATGTGTGTAGTAATTCCGTCACGTGATGAGCAAAGCACTGCTTCGCCTTGGATGAGTTAACTGTGTGTCTGTGGATGACAACTACACTTTCTCTTTTTTTTTTAATGACCTTGCTCAATGCAGTTTTGTGTGGAGGGGTTGTCAGCGCATCTCTGCGTATGTGTTCAACATAAAACTATACACCGTCCAGCATAGCTGGCTGGTGAGAATGCTGAGAACGCCAAACACTGGAGAGGCTTGAACTGTGTATGATCATGACCTTCACAGCACAAATTGAAAATGATTTTCTTCCCATTTCTTTTTTTCTCCGTGTCTCCAGGATGCTTCCATATGATGAGTCTGTATTTGCTGTGTTGATGTGGTTTTGTCTGACATCCTGAATGCTGCAAAAAGAGCTGGCAATAATCTGGCACACACTCCATTACAGACGCACAGATGAATGATGATTCTGCATTGTTCCAAGTTTTGTTTTCCTCATGCATCTGTTAATATAGCAGAGTACACCAAGTTTATTCAGATTTAGTGTGTTCAACAAGGTGCAACCTGGCAGTAGAGGTGTTGTAACCTCCCATCTAGTCATGAATGCAAAGGATTTGTAACTTTACAAAGTTGAATTACATTTAGCGATAATATGCATTTTATGGGAAACCAGTAATGGTACTTCTTTATTTATAGAAGTAGAGAATTAGGGAACATAGGAATCAAATGCTTAAGCTTTTACAGGCATACAAGACTGCAAGGGGGAGAAAAAAAGCCTTTTCCTCTGGTCTGATGCCGAGTACTTACAGCTGGGGTTGTCGGGGCTGGCGTCAGCTGAAAAGAGCTTTATGATGATGGCTGACTGCAAGTCATAATTTACCACTATTTCACTGCTTCCAGGTTGAGGATAATGATGGGGATCAAGGTACAGTAGGTGGAAGACTGTGGGTTTTTAAAGAATCATGCGTCACAAAATCTTTCTAAGCAACCTAGTCAGGAGTTAATGTGCTATTCTGTTGGCTTTAAAGACAGTAATCTCCATGAAGTTTCCTTTTCCCACTACACTTAAAAAAATAAAATAAAATAAAATCTATTTAATTCTTGGTGACTTATATCATAAAACTATTTTGTAGGAAACCCTTTTTGTTTTTCTTAAACAAAACAAAAAAAAACGTTGTTTACAACACAGCACTATGCAAGTAGTAGACGAGGCATAAAATAGCTCACATTGATCAATGGTGCTAACAAGCAGTTTGTGAACTGCTTTGTTCTACAATAAATATAAAGATAATTAATTTCATACTGTATGTATATACAGCATGGATACATTTAAAATTTGTTCTAATAAACAGTCCTTTAAAAATGTGTAATTAGGCATAAACCAGAGAAATCTCTGATAAAAACTACTAATTCTCAACTGGATTTCAGACTGTATGTCAAAGCCAAAAAAGGAACACCTAATCAGGTAGTTGTTAGGCAAGAAAAAATAAACAAGTCAGACCAAATTATAAAAGAAGTCCAAATAATGTGAGAAACCTCAGTATTATCTCAAGATGGGCATTTAAAAGTTTGATTACTCATAATAAAATGCACTTTCACGAAAAGTACTTTCTTTTTTTATAATAATGACAAATGCCAATGCACAGTACAAGAGTATCAGGTTTGTCATTTCAAATTACCATTCATCATCTTTTAATTGGCTGAAAACCTGTGTCTAAAAGGTTCAAGCAAAACCTTGGGAGTGTGTGTATATACATTTTATAATTTCAATATAGAAAAAGAAACTGTCTGAAAAAATGTAATGATGAAATTATGCAAACATCCAATGTCCTTGTAAAAGTTTTAAATGTAAGTTGTATACAAGACTCCTAAAATCATCACGCATGCACACATCTCTAGTGAGCGGTTGCCAGGTGATCTCTTTAGAAGTATTCAGTCAGGGGAGAACAGGGCTGGAGTAAAATATTGCACCTGTCCTCCTTTCCCTCCCCAACCACCCCCCTGTGTGATAGCATAATCTCTGACCTTGATTTGCAGAACCCTTGGGAACCATATTTATCTGTGTAAAACCACAGTGTTTAACTTGTTCTCTCTGCTGAGCGTTGATCTAAATCCCTCCTCTGTCGTGAGTGACCTTGAAACTGGGCTTTGACGAGAGCATATGTAATAGCGCTTAATTTAACATAACATTTGGAAAGAGAAGGGTCATGCGCTGGAGGGGGCACTTGGCAGATCTGATCATTCCCTGAAACCTATTTACTTCTATGCTGTAGTGACAGCTATAGTGGAAAAAGCCTAAGGCAAGTATAATAAGCATGCGTGTCCTTGAACATGTGCATGATAGTCCAGTAGTGAGCCCACAGGAGTTGGTGGTCCCACAACGTGAAGCTCAACAGTAACAAAAGACACAAACTCTTCTGGAGAACTTTCAGCTCACAAATTCCTACAGATAACAGCAGCAGTTGACAAGATATACATGTTCATGATATGCTCAAACACAGACTAAGAGGCTGAAAGAAATCTCCCGTTTCTATATCAATAGTATCCGTTTCCAGCAGAAATACACTTCAGATGGATAAATGAAAAATGACCCTATGAGTTCTCCCTGGGCACAAATGCAAAAAAAAAGAGGAAAAAAAAGTCTTCAGCAGAATCTTTTCCCTCTAGCCTTAGCAACAGTGGGCCACCAGATGAGCAAAAAGGAATCCATTCATCATACCCCTGGGCAAGCTCAGCTCCTCTAAGCCCTGCAGGCATTCTGTACCTTTGAATCTTCACTGTCTTTGACTCCTTTATATTTGCAGGGCGCCACAGGAGATGGTGCTTGCTCCTATTTGTTTTTTTTATAGTAAGAACTGCTTTATTAGAGGCAAAGGATCATCTTCCACACGTCAAGGTTACAAGGAAAATCAAGCTTAAACTAACCAAACAACTGTTTTGTAATGAAGAAAAAATAAAGGAGGAAGATAACACAAACTTGGTCATTTCAATTGCTTATTCAGACACACCAGAATTGAAAAGAAGTCAAAAGGAACCAGATTTTAAATCTTTGTTTTTAACCCTCACCTGTAAATCTATCAGCTCTGAAACATCTAAAAATGTTTGTTTTTTTATATTTACTCATCTCCTGTAAATGCCTTATCCGTTTTTTTTTTCTCTCACCTGCAAGAGGGAGTGCTTCCACACAGTGGGAGTTTGTGTGGGCTCTGAAACAGACAAAACAAGGTCCACAGTCCCTGTGAGCACTGCTGTGTGATGAAGTACCTGACCAGCTTTTCTTCCAACTGGTACCTGCTGACGGTGTTAATGGAGTACCACAAGGAGCCTTTAACACCTCATGCCAAAAAGAAAACCCACCTCATTGAAGTCAGTGAAACTATTTTCATTCTCTGCTGAGACTGTTCTCCCATGATGGCATAATTCTAAGTGTTGCAACATTTTAATATTTGATTCTAACCAATATGAAAGACTGTGCACATAAAAGGCAATCCAACAGAACTAGTTCTTCAGGCCTAACCAACTAGATTTCATGTTTTTCTGAATTTTCAGAAGAACTACACTCATTCATTTCAATAAAACATCTCAAAGATTATGTAACTTTCTTATAAAAAAAAAAGAGATATTTAAAAAATAGTGACAGAAAAACAACCATGCTGCAAAGATGAAGATGAGTGGGAACAATAGATCCCAGAGATGAGGGCCCTTTTCCTCCTACCGCCTCCACCCGTAATTCAGGAACGTTGACAGAGGATTTCCAAACACACAATATGGGAATGAGGGCTGTACTCGCTTAAGGTTGAAGGGGGATTAAATTACAGGGGAAACGTTGCAAGATTTGCTGAAAGAATGGCTGTCAGGAAATTCAGGGAGAGACATAAGGGGAAAGAATGTGTGGTAAAACTGAAGAGAATGAATGAATGTCAAAAGGCAGGAACTTGTAAAGAGGTACAAGAGATGCAAACAGGAAAAATAGTTAAGAGACTGACAGAACTGAGAGGCCCTCTTCCATGATGAGCTTTAGGCTTCTAATTGGGCAAATCTTTGAGCAGACGGCCTGGCACCCTGCTCAGGAGAACAGGTCAGACAGAGAGCAACAGAGAGAAAGACGGAAGGAAGGGGAAACATCGCCGGACAGAAGAGGGGGTTCATGAAAGGACTGAACTATGTGAATGTAATGAAGGGGTTGTACATGAACAGCACTGAGCTGAACCTAACTGGCTGATCTGTACTCTCCTTCATTTCCTTTTCCATATTCTCCTGCCATCGCAACCCCATTGTAAATCTCAAAGGAGCTGAATCAACAAAAATTCTGAAAAATGCGTTGGGTAATGAAACGGCTTTGGGAGGCCCAAGGACCTTCTCTGAATGGTTGAAGGGTTATAATAAAAGGGATGAGTGTTCTATGAGGGCCTCTCCAAGACTAATTTGTGAATGTCATGATCAATGGGCTAATTAAGTGTTGAGAAGGGTGAAAAAATGGAGACAGCAGGGTCCTGAGGAAGACGTGGCAAAGAAAAAAAAGTAGGGTGAAAGGATATTTGGGCGGAAAGGTGACAAAACTAGATGCAGATGCTACTCATACTAGAAAGGATGAAAAGTCCACAATGGGACTCTGATTCCCTTCTGTACTTAAGTAAATGAACTGGGACAGTTTGATGATTGCCTTACATTGGTGTTGGTCAGGAACAATTAGCTCACCTACTAAAAGCAGCATTACCCCCACCTCAAAAGATCTGTCCTGAAAAATATGATGCCATCAGCAGCTTTGGTTTTTCTGTGAGATTTAGACTATCCATTCACACATCAACTAAATCTAAACCGGAGCACACACACTGGTCAGCACCTAAAATCCACATCCATGATGCTGTTTAAAATGTTAAGCACGTCCACAATCGACAGGATCCTTTGAAATGCATTCACTCTTTAAATAAGCTGAGAGGGGAAAGTGTTTTAAAAAAAACAAGTAAATAAAAATAGGGCAGGGATATTCTGAGGAGTTGCAGGCGCTTTCTTCTTCTGTTTCCGTTCTTACAGTATTCATGTCCCTGGAGAAATATGGAAAGAGATTGTTTCATGTTGGCACTGCGGGTGCTTCGGTTATGCTTTTTCCTCACATCGTTGCATGAACAACCCCACCCCACACCATTCGGCCACTTCAACACTATTCGCGTTAGTATGTATCCCTGCAAAGCAATCTCACCAATCATTAGCTATTAGCACCAGTGTGTCTTCAAGGTTACACTCCCTTAGCCTGGCTAATTAAAGTGACAAGATCTTATCTTTCCTCCTCCGCCTGTGATCTATTCCACTCTTTATGAGCTGCCGACATTCTTAATTAGAAGCCATATTATCAAAACATTTACAACTCTACAATATACCTTCTGCGATTAAATTGTTTACATATAAAGATGATCTTGTGCGTTTACTCAAAATTTAAAGCAAAAGCTACATCTTTAGTCAGGATACCAACATTGATGCTCCCAGTACTGAAAGCTACTAGATATTAAGATTTAGCTAGCTAAATGCCTAGGGTGATCAACAGATTGGAATTTAGCCCCTCTTTCCTTCAGCATCTTGTCAGCAGAGAAATTGTTAAGCTATGAGAGACGAGGAGTCACCCACAATGCCTCTTTTGCTATGAAGGAAACCTGCCAAATGCTTAATGGCAAACACCACCAAAAATGGTAAATAAAAAAAAGGTGTGCGTGTGTGTGGGGAGGGGGGGATGTATTTTCACCATGTGCAAATGTAAGGCTTCACTGTTGTATGCATGCAGGTTTCCGTTAATACCGAAGGCGTTCTCTTTGCTGATCCTCACAGTAACAGTGATGATCATCTTCTGCTCTGCATCACTGTGTGTGAAAATGTAACACTGCCATTCTTGGGCTCATTTATCACTGTCAAGCCTCTGCTTTCTCTAATAAGAACTGCAAACATACAGCAACACACACAAATAAAACCAGAATCAACGGAGTGCCTGTCAAATAGGAGACATCCTAATTCAGTTCATAAGAACGGGCTCATTTTTTCCATTAGCACCTGCCATCAGTAAAGCTGAACCCCAGCAGTGAGCAACACATCAATTGGGGATGGAAGCATGCAAAATACTTTAAATAAGTGCTCTGGTTACTGAGAGGAGGAGTGAAAAATACTGAAGTGCAAATCCGAAAACATGTACATACGCAAACCTCCACACTTTGTGGCATAACAGTTAAGGGCAGATCAGACGGAGCCTGAGTATAATGCATTTGCTGTTCAAAAAGCTATAGTCAGGACAAACTAAAGAGATTAGGTCAAAATGACAAATCTGACAAGCATGCTATTCTTGATCTCTCAAAAAAGAAGATGACATGAACATTTTAATTGCATCAATTGGCGAACACAACTCAACTTTTCTTTTTATGTTGCAAAATAACGTCCAAACGCCTTTGCCATAATATGTTAGGAGGAATGAGATGAGAAGAATTAGAGACAATGGTTGTTTATTGTTACGCTCATTCTGCACTCACCGCCGAGGTTTGTGTGGAATTTGTTGAGATAGACTGTGAGAAATGTGAACTGCAGAGGTGATGGCAAAACCTATCCTGTTTGACGATAGAAAGGAGCAGGGATAAGAAAAAGAAGAGAAAGCTTGACTAATTAAGTGAAAGCATGGGTTCATCGCCTACACCGAACAGACAGTCTGAATGATCCCTCTAACTGTCAAGCTGAACAAGCCAGAAAAAAATTCTTTGACTGTGTCTAGCAGAGCAGACGATGCATTATGCTTTGAAAAGACAGAGGCAGACGTTCACAGATACTGCACGTGCTCCCGCTGGCTGATTGCAGACTAGTTGTATAAGGGCCTTTAAATGCTCTAAACCGGAGGAACGTAGAGTTCAGTAATGACTGGCTGACTGCTGCTGCTCTTAATACTCTAATAGTGCCTATGTCAACAGCTGCCGCCCCTTCGTATGGATTGTCCAACACCATGCGTAAGTGTTTTATTAAAAAACAGAAGAGAACTAATAAAACATTGTTTAGCAGGCACACTCATTTACACAGAGCTAAACAGTCAAGCTGAACAATTTATACATACCAAGTGGTATACACTTGCCTACAGCCTATGTTTATCATCAACTTAATTTCAGCTTTTTAAGTAGATTTAACTGTACATTCTCATTAGCAGTTTGGTTTGATCCTGATCTTAATTTGCCCTGCCTACATTTCTCGATAGATGAGAAGGTGGTGACTGTGGCCCAACAGACCTTCCAAGCAGAAGCAACCCCTGGGTTACGAACAGCAGGAACTGGTATCTCTGCATTCTCAAGTGTTGCCATTAGCTGGAAGATCTGGCTGGGCCTCATACACACACACGACCACCACAACCCACACTCACTTCTGTCAGCATACGGACGTCAAATGGATAACGGCCAAGCCTGTACTGTGGAACAGCCACTAGGTATGTCACCGTGGAGGCTCATTATGTTTGAGTGACTGAGACCCAAGCTCAGTGTGTGTGTGTGTGTTGGTATAAGATGGAAACCGTGTTCATTTTAGAAACACCCACATTAATACATACACACACACACTCACACCGCAGTGATAACACTTGAGCATGTTGGCCAACACAGACACTAATGCTGCTGCTTCCTTTGCCCATATTACCAATTCAACTGGTCTCTCTCTGACTAGCCGTTAGGGCTTCAGTTGACAGCTCACAGTAATAAATGTGGTGGTATGTCAGCCCATACTAATGTTCAACAAGTGCAATATCAGGGAAGAGGTAGCATATAGTAGATGTTGAAAGAGCAAAATAGAGATGGTCTTTGCTCCTACTGAGAAGCACAATCCTTCACAAACTGTTTTTCTGGAGCCATTTGCTCCTCAGCTTTTCTTCCACTGTGGTTTTCAATTTTTTCTGCAACATCTGTGGTCACTTGACTTTCAGAGCACAGTCTCTCCTCCTCCTCTCCCTGTATATGTCTGGGGTAAAAGGGCATGACCACCTACCCGTTGACCCAGAACTTGTTTGCAATACTCCGGCTTTACTATCGGGAATTCACATGGTCGTGGAACCTTCTGACCTTGAGATGCTATCAATAACATAGCTCTCAATTCCTGATTGAACACATCGATTGAAGAAGGCAGCACAAAGGTGTGAGCTGTGTGGCACAGACTGGGCTATGTCTAATCCATAATCACAAGCTAACAGAAGAAAAAGCAG